TGCCAAGCATCTTCCAGCTTGACCCACATGAACAGCGACAGTGCCGTCCCTCTTGCGCTAGCAAAATCGCAGATCACTCTGAGCTCATCCAAGAACGGGATAACGCGGTACACACGATATGCATAATAAGAAACCCAGGCACCGTTACTAGGGGGTATAGGCTTGGTAGGGTCACTAGGATCCCTGGTCGGTGGTATTGACCCCAGCCATACCAATCCAGGGTGCGAAACCCTTATGGCAAAGTGCAGCTGCATCCCAGTAAGGACCAAATAGCACGTGAAAGGTATCACAAGTCTCAATGGTACTGAGTGGATATAAGCACAGCCAGCCAACATAAGAATAGTTTGGGTCCACAATATGAGCTTCTCGGTGGTCACATGACGACCGCAGCTGTAACCATCCACTGAAGTCGACAGCCGCGAGTAGATGTATCGGTCGATCAGTACTCGGATGATAAGACCAACTATAGCTAGAACTTGCACTGTGGAGAACCTGTTGTTTTTGACGCTCTCCGCAAAGCCAGCCTCGACCTTAGTAGTAGAGGCTGAGGAGATGGCCGACCAATCAAATATGATAAGGAAGATCACAACCAGACTGAAGGCGAAGCGAGGGATGAACAGATCCAATGAAGGTCTCCTTAGTGTCACAGTGTGGGTAGCACCAACCTCAGATTCCGCCTCGCTGCTCTCTGGCCGCCCATCGACTTCCTCCAGCCTGCACAGTATCCTCTTCGCTTGCCACGGTGTCATGCCAGTGCCGCGACCAGAAAGGCGTTTGTGGATAAGATGGAGGCCCACGAGAAGCACAATGCCGATGTCCCATCCAAAATAACTTAGCAAGGTGGCAACCTTATAGTCTGAGATCTTTACCAGGCCCAGACGGGCCAGGGGGGTCAAAACGCCATAGGTAGGGGGGCATTCCCAGCGACTCTCCACAATCGATGGGACGTAAGAGTCGGAATCGCATACATGGGGCATTTGCATGAGCAGCTTTAACACGAAGCTGACCATGCTACAAAGAGCAATAACGATCCACGGTGTACGGCTGAGAAAAGGGTAACTCGAAGGGACGAGCCAACAAAGCATGATACCTAGAGGGACCACAGACAGTATGGAGGCGTTGTAAACCAAGCTCTGAGCGAACAGTGCGATGGCAACCCATATAGCAGTATGGGACAGCAAGAACTGTAGTGTCAATGTGAATTCCTTAGACACCGGGTTAACTTCCAGAGCGGGATCGATGACGTGGTAGCAGAAGCTGTCGAGTAAAGAAGTGATGATGTTGAATCTTTTATGGCGTCTTTCTTGTCGATTACCATCGATGCTAGCCCGAGGCAGGTTAGCGTTCGGACCACCGAGTACCATAGCAAAACCATCGATGACAGCATCAGTCGTCTGTGCCACCGCGCCAGTCACGTTCTCAGCCGCCATGATCGACCGGCGACCACTGTGAGCGGCCGGCACACCCATGCTACTCGGAGTCGTCTGGCTGCTGGCAGGCCCAACCGACTGTGTGCGACTGGCCTCCAGATCCTCCTTGGCCCTAGCCAGGATACCCTCTCGCTTCTCTTGAATATCAGCTTCTGAGCTCCCTGTCACCATCAGGCGTTTCAGTACAGTGCTGACGATGAACTCTGGAGAGGTGTCACCTGGCAGTGATTCGCTCACTTCCGTCAAGTCCGCCTTCACTTGGACCACCGACATTCCCAAGTACAAGGCGATCTCCTCTATCTGGTCGTCGTCGATAGCCGCCTGCCCGTCTGTAAACTTCTCGGCCAAGCCCGAGATATGGTCCTGGGTAGTGCTCCTCTGTGGCATGTGATGGTTACTGACTTCTTCGAGGCCAGCGTCCTTCTCAGTGGCCATTGTACCAGCGACAGCCACAATTCGGTTCAGGCGCCGCAAAAGAGTATCCAGATTGGCCTTGTGCTTGCGCTCATCGGCTTTACACCTCTGTAGAAGAACTCGCCGGACCCAACACTCTGCTATAGTCGAACTGTCACCAGCCAGGAAGTCGTCGGGACTACTTGGCAGTAGAGGTCTCGTGAGCGAGAATTGCAGAGGGGCTGCTATCCTGGGGCTCTGTGTTTGGTTGGTTGGTTCCATACCATTACTACTCATACATAAGGTGACGAAACTTGACTACTGCGTCATATAGTTTTACATGCTACTTGAGTATTGATAAGACAGCAAGATAACAAGATATTATCACTTCAGTGACACGCCCGCGAGTACAACATTGCAGTGCCTGATCGTGTCGTGGGGGGTGGTCACTGGCCACCGTTGGTCAGATCGAAATTGGGGCCGGAATGCCATCACTCATGCATCCATTCTACGAGTGTGGTCAGTGACTGGTCACCGAGGATGGCTCTACGCCGTAGAGTCTACGGCGTTAGTCCCCTCTTGTCTTTCTCAAGTGCTATCGTCTTTAGTGTCAATTGAAATAGAACTAACGCAGTATCTCGATCGTGGCCGGCCTCTTTCCAACATCATCCCATTCATTTCCCTGCTCTTATCCCCCGGGGGAATTTCCCCCTACGGAGACCACCACTACTTATTCAAGCTGCTCCATACCGACAAGGGGTCGATGCAGTTAGCATTCAGTGAATCCATACTTTCTCGCTGCATCATGTAGCTGTCTCCTGCTTTACGCTACTCTACTGTATACTCCACATTGTTGAACAGAGTTTTTCCTTATTCGCTGTTTTCTTGGGGAGCTGTCGTAGAGCCTCTCGCAATCACTGGAGTCGGCGATTGTATGTTCAAGGGCGATAGGCCACTAGGCCCGCGATGACCGGCAACAGATCCACACACACATCATGATCATCATGATCATTGCGTTGCCTACATAGGTATTGGGATTTGCTGTTACCAGATCTATCGACCAAAGGACTACCCGTCTCATGCCACGTCGTACATGTCAAGCACTGAATCCATGAAGAAAGATTAGAATCCGAGGCTCTAGGAAAATACCTATACCTTCCAAAGATCTATCTGGTGGTTGAGGCCACCAATTTAGCGTGTACAGAAATCATAGTCACGACAACGAACATCAATGGGGCGATGGCGGTCGGATAGGGAAATTGTTTTCGTGGATAAGGGCATCAATTCGGTGATGCATCTCACAAATAAGGCCATTACGAATGTGTCAAATAAGCTAAGGACCATAGCGGCCAGCTTGACCGCGACGCGAGACGAGCCAACATGCTAACTCGATCACTGCTCATCATCCCATTTCCCGTACTCCTTCTACACAACATATAGCGTGCTCTTGCAGGAATAAATTATCACTAATCGTATATAATCGACTCGAGTTGAGTCAGGGGCCAAGACGGTACACCCAATGGTATAAAAAAAGGTCGGGAGCCAGATGGTGGCACATCCGGGCCTCAACAAACCATGGTAGCGTCCAACCGATCAGACCTCAGCAGGGAGTAGAGGAGCACCAGCAGCCGAGATTCCAGAGCCCTGTGGTTCAGCTCGCCGTCTTAACGCTGCATGAGCCGAGGCTCGCTTGCTCACAAGGACATCAGGCATATGACTCGTGCTTCCAGTGACCGACAGCAACTTAGCTGGCGAACGGTAGAGTGTGACAACTTCGTAGTAGAGCACACGCTCAGCCTCTAGTGAGTGGCGCATACGAGCGATCTGGACTCCTTGACAGAGCTGGAGGAGATACGTTACCGATGGGAGCTCCTCAAACATGATGCGTTTACTGCTGTCTTGGATGACCAGCCTGAAGAAGCGTCCTATGGTAAGCACCACGCCCACATAGAGGCTGATGACGCTGAGAGTCGACGATGCCGATGCACCTCCTCCAGCACTGGGCGGCACCGCCCTCTCACTGACCACCGCCAATGTGGGGTTCTCAGCCAGAGACCACCATATCTGAGAATCCTCCTCTTCAACCTTCAACGATACGTTGGTGAACTGGCGGAATGACCCTGGAGGGCTTGCCCATGGGCCATTCAGATAAAGCGCCCTAGGTAAGAGCCCGTCTATATGTAGCTGGCTACCGTTCACCAAGGCCATCGCATCCAGAAGCTGCTGTGCCGGCTCCACTGACTGCACGCAATGATAGCCCGAGGACCGTACACTGCCAGGTTGGGAGTGACCAAACTCCCAAGTCACACAGAACGTCGCATTGACCTCCCCATCAGGTGTCTGGTTGGCCTGAATATAGTCTCTGATCTGTCGACGAAGTGGTGGACTCGGTTGCCATAGCTCATCGGCAGCCTTTGGCAATGTAGCATTCTGGAGGTCAGCACTCTGCATGGCTGTATAAGAGACCAACTCTTCGGGCATGAGTGGGTACTCCGATGCCTGTGGGACTCTGAGACCGACATGATCGGTATTCCATACGGGAATAGAGAACTCTCCAACCTTCAACGAGATAGCTATTGATGCACTGGTGACCATATTAGACTCTCTCAATAAGTTGAGACCGGAGAAGAACGTGAGCGGCCCAGTGATGACAAAGACCAGGAAGGCGAGAAGACTGCCACCCAACAGGAAGCGGTACTTCGGACCTGTCTGTCGGTCAATCGAAGCCCGTCCAGCAATGTCGTAGTGCACCAGATAGAGATTCTGCCAAGCATCTTCCAGCTTGAACCACATGAACAGCGACAGCGCCGTCCCTCTTGCGCTAGCAAAATCGCAGATCACTCTGAGCTCATCCAAGAACGGGATAACGCGGTACACACGATATGCATAATAAGAAACCCAGGCACCGTTACTAGGGGGTATAGGCTTGGTAGGGTCACTAGGATCCCTGGTCGGTGGTATTGACCCCAGCCATACCAATCCAGGGTGCGAAACCCTTATGGCAAAGTGCAGCTGCATACCAGTAAGGACCAAATAGCACGTGAAAGGTATCACAAGTCTCAATGGTACTGAGTGGATATAAGCACAGCCAGCCAACATAAGAATAGTTTGGGTCCACAATATGAGCTTCTCGGTGGTCACATGACGACCGCAGCTGTAACCATCCACTGAAGTCGACAGCCGCGAGTAGATGTATCGGTCGATCAGTACTCGGATGATAAGACCAACTATAGCTAGAACTTGCACTGTGGAGAACCTGTTGTTTTTGACGCTCTCCGCAAAGCCAGCCTCGACCTTAGTGGTAGAGGCTGAGGAGATGGCCGACCAATCAAATATGATAAGGAAGATCACAACCAGACTGAAGGCGAAGCGAGGGATGAACAGATCCAATGAAGGTCTCCTTAGTGACACAGTGTGGGTATCACCAACCTCAGAGTCCTGCTCGCTGCTCTCTGGCCGCCCATCGACTTCCTCAAGTCTGCGCAATATCGCCTCCGCCTGCCACGGTGTCATGTCAGTGCCGCGACCAGAGAAGCGTTTGTGGATAAGATGGAGGCCCACGAGCAGCACAATGCCGATGTCCCACCCGACGTAACGTAGCAAGGCGGCATCCTCATAGTCTGAGATCTTGAACAGGCCCAGACGGGCCAAGGGGGTCAGAACACCGTAGGTAGGGGGACATTCCCAGCGACTCTCCACAATCGATGGGACGTAAGAGTCGGTATCGCACACATGGGGCATTTGCATGAGCAGCTTCAACACGAGGCTGGCCATGATACAAAGAGCAACCACAATCCACGGCGCGGGGCTAAGGAAAGGGTAACTCGTGGGAATGAGCCAGCAGAGCATGATACCTAGAGGGACCACAGACAGTATGGAGGCGTTGTAAACCAAGCTCTGAGCGAACAGTGCGATGGCAACCCATATAGCAGTATGGGAGAGCAAGAACTGTATGGTCGATGGGAACCTCCTAGACACCGGGTGAACTTTCAGCGCGGGATCGATGACGTGGTAGCAGAAGCTGTCGAGTAAAGAAGTGATGATGTTGAATCTTTTATGACGCCTTTCTTGCTGATTACCATCGATGCTAGCCCGAGGCAGGTTAGCGTTCGGACCACCGAGTACCATAGCAAAACCATCGATGACAGCATCAGTCGTCTGTGCCACCGCGCCAGTCACGTTCTCAGCCGCCATGATCGACCGGCGGCCACTGTGAGCGGCCGGCACACCCATGCTACTCGGAGTCGTCTGGCTGCTGGCAGGCTCAACCGACTGTGTGCGACTGGCCTCTAGATCCTCCTTGGCCCTAGCCAGGATACCCTCTCGCTTCTCTTGAATATCAGCTTCTGAGCTCCCTGTCACCATCAGGCGTTTCAGTACAGTGCTGACGATGAACTCTGGAGAGGTGTCACCTGGTAGTGATTCGCTCACTTCCGTCAAGTCTGCCTTCACTTGGACCACCGACATTCCCAAGTACAAGGCGATCTCCTCTATCTGGTCGTCGTCGATAGCCGCCTGTCCGTCTGTGAACTTCTCGGCCAAGCCCGAGATATGGTCCTGGGTAGTGCTCCTCTGTGGCATGTGATGGTTACTGACCCCTTCCACGCCGTCGTCATTTTCAGTGGCCATCGTACCAGCGACAGCCACAATTCGGTTCAGACGCCGCAAAAGAGTATCCAAATTAGCCTTATGCTTGCGCTCATCGGCTTGACACCTCTGCAGGAGAACTCGCCGGACCCAACCCTCTGCTATAGTCGAACTGTCACCAGCCAAGAAATTGTCGGGACTACTGGGCCGTAGAGGTCTCGTAAGTAAGTATAGCAAAGGAGCGCACAGCTCGAAGAGGGCCAGAGAGGGGACTTCCCCGAACGAGAAGAGGGGCAGGAAGTCTTTGAGATACAACCAGAAGCGTGGCTTGTGAGAGATGTAGTCGGAAGGGATTTGCGAAAGGACACACAGGGAGTAATAGAGCCCACAGACAACCAGGAAGCAGTATCTACTGACAGGGGCTCTGCCGCTTTGGGGGATCTCCAGAAGCATTCCCAACCCCGACAACAGTATAACAACAATGAAGACTCCTATGGACCTCCGGCCATCTCCAACGAGCTCAACTGCCAAGATACCAAAGAAAGCTAACACCAACTTGGTCGGAGTCAGCAGAGGCATCGGCCTCTCGTAGAGGAGCACTGATGCGTGGGTGAGGCCGACGATATTGGTCATCATTGCCCCCGGAGCGCTAGCCCAGCTGAGACCAAGCCACTGGTATAACGGAGTCGTTGGGAAGGGTTTTTGCACCACTGACAGGATCATCGGCGTGATACAGAGCTCAAGTACTGATATCGAGAGCACTGATATCGCTAATTTATGAACTGCCTCGTTTCGTGGACTGCTCAGAGATAAGGGGAGGTAGATGGCAACAGACCAGACCGAAGGCCTGACCACGGCGACGACCAGGAGGATGAGTCTATATATGTCGGGTGAAGAGTAGTCATTGGCGAGTGCTAGAATACCACGATCAGTAGCTTCACTCGGCCCACTGTGTGTCAAGGCTGCCACCAAGACGCATACGCCAAGGGGGTAGTAGTGAGCTATGACGCCGCTCAGAGGAACCTTGCGAAAGCCAGAGCCAGATACTATCACTATAAGAGCATAAAGGTGGATAATCGAGAACATTACTGCTACCCTACCTGGTTTCTGGAGAAACCTTGGTAAGGACACGGCCAGGACCGCGAAGACAGTGAGCACTAGGTTCTCAATGGGGAAGCTCTGAGGGTGATAGAGTCCCTTGACCGTAGAGAAGTAGAACGTGGAGATAGGAGCAATCGCGGCTACCAGCTTCTGCATGCCCTTCGAGAATGAGGGTGGCGACGGAATCGCAGGGGTGAACGCTACACTCTGGCTGGCCGTGAGGAACCACATCTGCCAACACAGCTGTGCAGTGACTCGAGTGCTCTCCCCTTGCATAACGCCAACAACATAGTTCCCAACGGCGAAGACTATGGCCACGCCGGTACCCCACCCTATGGCACTGCGCAATGGCATCACCAGCGAGAGTAGAGACGCGAGACCAGCGCAGCCCGCAGTCATCGTGATGGTCAACACTCGTAGAGGGGCCGATGGCAGGAGAGGCAGAGCCGTATAGAGACAGGCCATAAGCACTACTGCCAACCCAGACGCGAACATACTCCCAGACCTCGACTCTTCCTGGCCCTGAGAGATCAGTGTCACGCGATCTAATGCCCAGAGCATCGAAGCTGCCAAGATAACCGGCACACATCGTAACCAAATGGCAGCTTGGAACTCCAGAATGGAGCCCTTATCGGCGGATATAGCGGCAAACGAAACAAGAGCTCCGAGGACAGCGGAGTTGCAGATGACGAACTCTGAGGCAAAGGTCTTACCATAACGGATACCAGCTAGTTGCCATATGAGCGTACAGACGAAGAAGACAGATTGGCACAAACGATCCACTTGAGAGGAGCCCTCAACCGCCCGCAGGACGATCGACCATAAGAGCAACTGGCACGTCAACCGTATTGGTGACACGAATGACATCGGTAGGAAGCGAAGCGATCTCTGCAGAGTCCCGCGATCGCTGTCGACCAGCAGCTTCATCGTTGTACACACTAGAGCCGAAAAAGATGCCAGAGGAGACAGCACAACTGGTGACAGACCAGGGACGGCTGAGACTAGGACAACTGGGTACAACTGTGGTAATGGTGAGACGGCTACTAAGTATAGAGCAAGTGCCAGATAATGCGATTTGTTCCGTAGAGGCGGGATCAGTAGAACTGCCATGAGCATAAAGAAGGCCACCGGAGTAGCAAAGGTGGTAATGCACACGACGAGAAGAGGAATGCAGAGGCTTCTGATGAGAGTCTCGAGCACTGGTTGACAAGCCTTCAAACCTCTCCCCACCAGTGACTCAGTTCCGTTATCGTCTAAGAAAGCTTCATCATAACCAACGACTGTGGTCCCGATGGGTGAGTCAACAACAGGGACTAAGAGACCGTATATGAGTGTAATCCAGAGCAGGGACATAGAATCACCGCATGGCATTCGGATGAGCAGATGAGCCAATACCGCCACTCTCGAGTCATATGCTATTAGGTCAGCCTGATGCGAAACTTGTAGCGACATGACGCATACAAGTATTGGATAGACAACCATAGAGAGCATGAACTCTCCCTTGGCCGACCCTTCATAGGTGAAGCTTGCTACTTGGACCAAGAAGCCCAGGTACACGAAGAGACGTACAGCAGTGGCAAGCAGAAATTCCTCGGTCATGGAACTCGGGTAAGCAAAAGGGCGTTGGAGCATCCATGGCCCAGTTAATGCAGTGACTACTGGAAGGACCAGCGCTACCGCACGAGTCACCCACATGAACCCACCAGTGAACGGACTCATCACCCATGCTGGCAAAGACATGCCCATGCCGCCAACGTCATGTAACAAGACCATCACCAGCAAAGCGAAGGCAGCAACATGTAACGTTGCGGCGATGAGAGCGAACTTTTTGGCATCCTCTCGATTATCCGTAGCAAAGCGGCCTTGGAAAGTCATGTAGACTACCACTGCTCCAACAACAACACCGACCAAAGGCGAGGCTCCTCCGACCAAGAGAAGGGAGTGGGCCAGAAGGACGAACCAAGCCGAACGAATAACCAGAGTCACAATACTGCGCATGAAGGGCCGCGACGTTGGCTCAATGAGGGGAAATGGCGTCACAGACGGTGAAGGTTCTGCTGTGCTCGGATTCTGAGAACTCACCGGTATGTCCTGTCGTTCCTGGGGGTAGGAGGGTGGAGTTGGCGGAAATGTGGTACTAATATTGTAAAAATTATACTGATAACATCAGGGACTGCCAAGCGCCAGAGCCTTCAACATCCTCAAAGGTAGTATCAATCGCTGACAATATAGGATCTCACTCAAATTTCCACAAGGCAAGTACCAACCAAACGCCGTAGTATTGATCAGAAACATCATGCCACCTCCACAGCAACACTCACTTCCCGTTAAGGATTTGACGGTAGGCCGAGGTAAGCCGTTCCCTCATGGTCTGGTCAATATGGGGCCCCGGACCAGCCCAATGCATCTCGACATGCTTCACTTACTGGCAACATGGACGGTTCATCGAAGCACTCTACGCAATATTCAGCTCCGTGAAGGCTCCTGTACCAGCCCAAGCCCGAGTTCCGCTCCACTTCCACATGAAAATGCTTCTTAACATCTAACAACATCCCCTATTGTTCCCCAGCCTCCTCTGTGCTACACGATCTCGCCGGGCTTCAAATTGAAACTTTCAATACGAGCTTGCCTTGAAGCCTTCTGCCCAACACGATCCATTATAAAGACACCAACGCGATCAGCGAGACAGCACGTTCGGACACTTCTGTCTCTATTATAGAATGGCATCCTACTAGTAGTAGGCTGTATACTAGGTAGTAGGCTACTACCTAGTATGCACCTACACTGCCTTCCTCATGCCAAAAACCCGGGTGGGTTTGACCTTGAAATATGAAGCAGCAGTTCGAAATTCGAATGCGGGGATTCCTCTGGGGATCCTCGGGATTTATTCAAACTTCGAATAGAGAGAGCAGGGCGGACCAGAGCAGGCCCCGCAGACCAGAGTGAGAGGTATGCCTGACCCACGGCCAAGCTTTGTAGCGCCATGACCACACTCAGCAACTGTGCGACTAACTTCCTCTTTCTCATCAACACATTCAGACCCTTATGAGCTCTAATTGGCCACTTGGGAACGCAAGCACTCCTTGATAAAATCGACATGGGTCTCACCATTATCCACATGACACAAAGAGTGTATTAAGCGATGAATCAACACATTGCCTAACATTACCAATCTACAACTCCTCCGCAAGAGTCTCCGTATCATTGACGTCGTACCACTTATGGAAGTGCCATCCACCATAGTACCTGCGAGGACAAAGGGGACGCGTAAGGCGGAGTGGTCCAACCCGTAGACTCACTTCACCATCATTATCATGACGCTGATGTAGCTAATGAGGGATATGAACAAGTAGGTTGCGGAACCCAGGAGACGCCACTGGGCCGCGCCATACCAAGGAGATCCGTACTTTCGGAAGAAGTCTGTGAAGCCTGAAGCGACCTACATGTACTGGTCATCCCAAGTATCCCAAGCTCACTCTGAAGACAGCCGCACAGAACAGCCGCGGGTTCAATCGCCGCCAACCCGAAGCTGAGGCTCTCATTGACACACTCCTCGCATTTTCCCGTTGGCTTCTCCAACTTCCCCTGTAACAGCCCTGAACTGCCACACACTTCGTTGAGGGATTTCTGGATCATCGCTGCATCTACTTGACCAGTGGAGCCCGCTTTCACAGTAGAGGTACATGATATCTACAGATGCAACTTCGGATTAGTCACGAACTCGAGCTCCTCACGTCCTTCCCCAGCGAGACATCGCCCGAACAGGCAGCGTTTAGAGCATTGCCAGAACCAAGCCGGCACGCGAACTCCGACCACATGCAGTTGAACGCCTTAGCAGAAGCACCGGGGTCCATTAGAGTAAAGGAAGAATCCGCGTCCATGTAATCGACAAGCTGGACTTGTTTGAAGGTAACTGATCCGATGGCACTCTAAATTCCAGGCGAACAGGTACAGCGCAGTTTCGACTTACAGAGACCATCGAGAGCAACTCCAGTGCTGAACATGAGGCAGAAGGTGGCGACTTGTGTGAAGAACGATAGAAGCCCGAAAAGCAAGAAGAGTGACTTCCAGGTATTGAAGCTCGACTTAACCGCCTTGGTGAAAATTCCTGAACGATGAAGATGAGATGGTTCGGAAGGTACGAAGTTTGAGGGACTCACCGAGGGACACTACTGCGAGACCAGCGGCGACCCATGAGCATATCTGAATCCCGAGTATCCGAACATTGTCGGCAGATGTGCCAAATTCCTGAGAGAGTGGTATGGCGGTTTTAGCTGGTGTTATCTCACTTTCAAGTCACTGGAGGAGGCACCGGAGAGGGGGTGGGTTATCGAATGGATAGCACTAGAGGTGTTGATGGCGATGCTGAGTAGCAGTGACGTGACCTAATGAGAAGATACATACGTTTACCCGCTACTCATCAATGCGATAGTTTTCATATCAGAAGTTGAGCGTTCGTGGTCGACGACTTCCAATGGTCTCCGCGCGAAACCCCCGTGCTACCATCATCCAGCCGACAACGCCTTGAAGCCAGCACCTACTGTGTAGGTCCGGGGTATCTGCCAGCTTGAGACTGGCTGAATCCATAGCGGGTAAAGAGGCCTTTCTAACCTAACAGTTGATGATCGTCAATGCTTAGTTTCCAGGGCCGCTGATGAAATGCAAGGTTGCAAGTGAACAAGAAAAAAAACGTCGCGCGCCACGAAACTGCCGATCAAGTCCGAACTACCGATGCGCTGACTCGCCTGTCTTTGATGGTGATTGAGACACATAAGGATCGTTGCTTGCAATGCGCTACCTTTATGCGAGCAATTCTCGCTACCTTTCTCGAGTGCTCACTGGGCGTTTTAATATGGGACCAGCAGTCTGGTTTCGTAAGCCGCCATGCTCGACACGGTCGGATTTCCATCTTACTCCATGGTCATCGCATCAGGACTGCGAACCTCTCAAGTGGTGCAGCGTCTAGGACTCTGCAGCAAAGTAGTCGATAAGTAGGGAAGTTGTGAGTTAGCCTCACCTCCAGGTGGTTGCTCTGTCTACCATGGAGGGCGAGCGTGTACCTGAGGCGCGGGGTCCTCAGTTCGCGAAGTTTCTCCATCAAGTTGGAGTGGAAGAGTTCATCGATCCCCTTCACATTGGTGGGGTCATGAAGGCTCGGGTACTGCGATGAGTCATGTGAGTGAGGCGTCATGAAGTCTCTGTGTAGTTCGTGGATTGGGTGGTTAGAGAGGTCGACATGGACGGTAGGGTCGCGAAGATGTCGGACGAAACGGCGCCGGAGTGGTGGAGTAAACTGGAGTGCTACCATGAGCAACAGACCAATGCAGCGAGGCCTCCACAAGCTGATACCTATCCTGTTGGGAATAGCGGTGTTGATCATACGGATCAGTATCGACAGGCCTACGAGGAGGGGTGATATAATAGATGAGCCTCTGTCCTTGGGATGGCCTACCTTAGGTATTGGCTCGGCGATAGGGCCGCAAATTTCATCGAAGAATTTTGCGGAGCTGAAGCTTTGGGAAAGATAGTGAAATTCATGAAAGCAACGCGGGAGGTAGGACTCGTCTGGTCAGTATGCATGGGGAGCAATAAGCAGCTCAGAATTTGCGCTCTATGAGTTCTAGAAAAGGTCATGAAGAGATATACTTCAGGAAGTGGGAGAGCGTGATGATGGGGACTATCGGCGGCGACTATTCGAATGGAAATCCAATGGGCCGGCGGACATTGCTGTTGTGTATAAAATACGCGGTGCGATATCAGGCATGTTGAAAGAGGTAGCAGGGGGGTATTCTAGCCGGAGGGTGGAGGCAGTTGGTTCAGTCTCTCGCTGTGGTGCCGTTCAAGCTGCTCTCTGATAGAGTCATCTACTATGCCGCTGTGAACGTCAGGAGGAATGAGTTCCTCTTGAGCTGCATGGATCGGTCAGACGCTGCTCGAGTGCTTTGTTTCTTTGGTGCTGGGTAAGAGCTACTCGGAACGATGTCGTACACTCGCTCTCTGAAGTAGATACTCCTCGGAGACCCTATTGGTCCCTGTGAAGAACGCACAAGGCAAAAGAGGGCAGCTTGTAGCGAAAACATTGCCATTACATTTTCCGGATATACGGGTTAGCGTCTATGAAGAAGAGACAGAGTCAAATGTAGTCTAGCCAGAAGTTACCGTATCGGATTGTATCGTGGCTTGGTGCCAGGGTGCAGTGGTGGAATTGAGCTGGTCGAGGAAGTACTCGCCTGTTGGCCTATACAAGGGAAGCCGCTGGAGGTTCACTCTGATGAAGGCTGGTTGGGACACCACTGCGATACAGCGAGCTATCGAGCGGGAACTTGATCTTCCGAAGGATAGCATGCACTTTGCTGGGGTGAAAGACAAGTTTGGTGTTACGTACCAGTGAGTAGATGCCCGAGGCAGTCGGATCGGCTCTACTGTGAAGGTGCAGGTACGCGACTCTGCCGGCCACACATAGTGAGGAGCAGATCAGAGAAGCTGTAGGGAGAGTGAATGTGGGGAGAAGGAGCAGTGGGGATGTGTACGTGGGGGTGGACAGTTTCGAGAGAACCGAGGTTAATGGAGGGACGACGGAGTTACGGCATGGGATGCTCTCTGGGTGAGTACTGCGATCGGAATGGTTGTGAAATGACTACAGCAGTAACTGCTTTCGACTCCGAATTCGGGATGTTGAGGGAGGCGCTGATGAGAAGGTCCGTGCATCGAAACTGGCCGATACGGGTTTCATCAATTACTATGGTTTGCAGCGGTTCGGCATCAACCCCCATCACGATGAATCAAGGCATAACAATGTAGTACATGTGTGGAAGTCTTCCGGATGACTGGGCGGTATAAGGTTGATATCGGGGCCGCACTGGTTTCGGGTGATTACGAGAAAGCAGCGAAACTCATACTCACCCCTGCTGGCTGCGATAAAAGGAAAGTCGCCGACGTAGGACTGTTGAAGGGATGGTGGTGAGCGATGGTGTTGCAGATACTGCGGGAATGGCAGGAAACAGGAGAGTCCTCTGTGGTCGCCGAGCGATTACGGAAGGTGCGCTCCCGGGATCGAGACGTGGAGATGTAGCAACTTAAAGGCGTGTGGGAATGTAGGCTCATTCACAGGTGGTCGAGGATGATGAGCGCTATAGTGGCATCACCAACAGTTGACGGATACAGAGGAGCTCTCAGGGCGGGCGTGCCTCGGGCCTTACTGCAAATCCATCTCCTGGCCTACCAGTCCTGTCTGTGGAACAGGATGGCTTCTAGGTATACTCCTTAGGTCTATCCGGCTCTGCAATGTACCTCTGTCGTTTAGGAGGATCCGAGAGAACGGTTTAGAGGTTGTTGAGAGTGATGTGGTCTGGTGTAAAGAGAAGGGGGATATCACAATGGTGGGCTCTGCGGTTGACAGGTGGGAACTGCTTTGGTCGATCTTGGGATGCCTCCCTCTGCTAGGTTCAAGATTAGTGATGTCCTAGTCCCCACTTGGGGTAGCCAGTTGGAAGGCAAGGACAAGCTGTTGAGGTTGGGCGTCTGTACTCGTCAGCTGTAGGAGATGGGACGACCGGTAGTTGGCATCGTCTCTATCGTATAAGGTACGCAGAGCTTCTGAGGGAATCAGTGTCGCGTGGCGAGGCGTCGGATGGGATCCTCAATGGAGACCTCGATCTTGATTTCTCGCGCAGCTTGGGCGTGCGAGCTCGACTGCCGAGTATCCCTAGACGTCTCATCGCGAAGCCAGGGAACCTAAAATGCTGGGAAGAGATGGCGGATGGGAGACGGAATTTGATACTAGAAGTATGCAGTCTCGGAATTGACAGGTGATTTCAAATTCAGTACTTTCCCGTCTGTAGTTTTTCCTTCCACGCGGGTCCTATGCGACGATGCTTCTTCGAGAGATAATGGACTGAGGGCTTCCCTAGGTTGATACTGCCCCATCCGTCTGCATGAGTTCATATAGGCCTTTGCCCAAGTCTTGCATGTTTCAGTCACTGTTTCTATTGGAGTTACTGTGTTTGTTCGCCGAGGCTGGATCGACCGGTTTCCTGTCTTGCTGAAAAGCGTTCATGATTGATCCTTGAGCCCATTGGTTTTGATACGTTCACTAGGACTCGGATAGAGGA